GTCTTTGTGTGTGGCTTCTATATTTGAACCAATTTACCTTGGGTAACCATACTGGGCCCAATTTCCTTTAAGGATAAATTTTGCAGTTGCTTCCTTGAGACCTAGCACTGGATAAATGGAATTTCAATTATTAGAATAGAATTTAAAATTAATAATGGTGAATCCAAATTGTAGTAAAAGTATTTTATAAATTTATGTAATAGTGAGCATGTCATGTTTTGCTGTACCAAATTCACATTCTTTTTTATGCATATAGAAAGTAAATAGTGAAACTAGTTACTGAAACTAGTTAGTGAAATTTATGCTATATTCTTAGGTGACCAGAAGAACTTTGTGAGGAAATTTCTTTTTGTGTTATTCAGGCTGGCCTGGAACTCCTGGCCTCAAGTGATCCTCCTGCCCCAGCCTCCTCAGTAGCTGGACCTACAGATCAGCTTGACTGAATTCCTGAAAGTGGTCCGTAGTGACTTGTTAAGGTTTTCTTACTTTTCCCTGCCCTGGAGAACAGAACCAATTGCTCGGTACACATTAGTTTTTTTTGTCCTGTTTTAGAGGCAGTAAACAGTGAGGCAGTTCACCTTTCTCTCTACGGCCACTTCACTCTGAGGTGGTTCTCAGTTTCAAACCCGACCCAGACCAGTAGGAGTTGAGGAGTGTTATTAACTCGTTCTCCTGAACACTTCCCTGAAGAGTGTACTTCACATCTCTCTAAATTGGCTGTAAAAACATTTAGTCTTGTTCTAAAGCTATGCTCTGAATGAATGGCCATGCAACATTAAATGCAGTGGGGGGTTTCTGAAAGAACAGAAGCGATACAGAAAATCAGGCATTCGTGACATCCGTGTCCTAAGCTGACATTAAATGGAAGGCTGAAAGAAAAAGCAGCCAGTGTGTTTACGAAGGGCACTAACTTGTGTAGTTTCAACAAGTACAGATAAATAGCTAAGAGAAGGTGTAAGTGCTGCAGCCCTTCAGAGTAACAGGTAAAAAGTAGAGGGGCTTTCAAAAGAATTACGCTATAAATAGTCCAAAGGAAGGAGCCACAGAGCCGATCACATGACAGTATTGAAACCACTATTTGCTGGTGCAATCCACACCCATGAAGTGTAAGTCACAAGTTGGTGTAAGTCATATTTTATGGCTTGTTTTGATTGCAAACACTCTCTTTCTTCCAGGCATGACTTGAAAGCTCTACATTTCCTCATTTTTTTCTTTTTCTTTTTCTTTTTTTTTTTTGGTCTTTGAAATCATTTTTCTTTCTTCTCCAAAGAAACATTTCTTCTAATAGGAGTTAAGGAGACGGATTTAGTGAGTTGATATTTCATACCCTAAGACCTCTTTTCACAAATCATCCATTAAAATTTACAAATACGAAAAAAAGATTGAAATTTTCATACACAATGCTTCCAAGTCAATTGTCAATTTATTTTCATGTAAATATTCTCGGTATTTGTAGCAAAATGTATTTGAATTTTATTTTGAGCAAGCTTATTTTTATTTTTGCATTCTGTTATCTTTATGTTTTTTAGTTAATTTTATAGCTCCATCATTACCTTTTCTTTTTCTTTCCTCCTC